CTGTCACAGTGGGGGTGAGAAGTGGAATGGAGACCCATGGTGTTTCTGTGATGTGTCAGCTGGTGAGACCTGTGAGCCCTCCGTTGCCTGCACCTTGTGGGAATGGGAGTGAGGGGAGTGTGGGGGTGGGGGGCAGGACACCCAGATGCTCTCGAGTCTCTCAGCTTCTTCAACATTAATTTTTAAGATTTCTTTGGGTCACCATAGAGGCTGGATTCTCGAAAGTGGGGAGAAGGTTCGCTCTCAAGAACTTCACACTGTGCCCCTGCTCTGTCCAAGTCAGGCCTTTCTCCTTCAAAGGTTGTTGGGTCCAAGGATCCCACAAGTCAGCTGCAGGGAGCCCCTGGCCTGGCCATGTGGACCAGAGACTCAGTGCTGCCTCAATTTTTTTCGCTTACTGTCTTCTGACTACCCCAGACCCTTCATGGTGTGGAGATGAGACATCCCTGAAAGCCCCTGGTGATGTGGGAATGGTCAGAGGCGACATGATTGGATATGAAAGCTGTGACCTTAGCAGTCCACCCCAGTTGGAAGGGACTGAGTAGGTGGTAGCTGTGGACAGGTGGGGCGTGGCTGGAGGAGGTGGGTCACCTGGTGCATGCCCTAGAAGGGTGCATCTTCCCCATGGCCCCTGCCTCCCTCTGCTTACTGGCCACCATGAAGGGAACACTGCTTCTCAGCCACATCCTTCCACCATGATGCTCTGCCTCCCCTTGGGCTCGGGGCAGGAGATGGCTGACCATGGACTGACCCTCTGAAACTGTGAGCCGACATAGACCTCTCCTCTAAGTTGTTCTTGTTGGCTACCTTGGTCTCTGCAATGAAAAGCTGATAACAAGTACCAGTGGCCTGGGTGACCTCAGCAAGTGATGCTGGGCGTCTGTTTCCTCTCCTAGGAAAGAGGAAAAGAGTTCCTCTGCCAGCGTCACGGGGATGCTAGGAAGACAAGGGAGGTTCAAGGTGACAAGCAGTGATTTTCCTATTAAATGTAAGATGGCCGTGGGGCAGAGGCTGTGAGCTGGGACTCCCCAGCTGGGAGCACCGTGGGACCTGGGGTGGGTGAGTCATCCTCTCAGGCCTCCATTTCCCTGATCCATGAATAAGAGTCTTGGACATGCTGATTTTAAGAGCCTGGCCAGTTACAGCCTTCCAGAAGCTTCTCCATTCCCATTTCTTCTTTGTTTAGCCCCTTGGTGGCAAGGTGGTTGGGGGCACGTGTCCCAGCGTACCTGGTGCAAGATCTCTCTAACGGATGCACCCGAGGGTTGCTGGCTCTAGATGCTCTCAGAAGCTCTATCTCTGGACCTGCAGGCAGAAACTGGCCTCCCAGATCTCCAGGCCTGCTGTGGAGTCTGAGCTGGCCTGGCCTCCCTGGCAGCTGGGCTGTGTCCTTCTGACTTGGCCAGTTGCAGAAGGACCCAGGAGAGAACACTCCTCTGAAACTGACTCATGACTGTGAGTCCTCCGGGTGGGGCCTCTGTTCCTGCAGACTCTCCTCCAGGCGTGGTTTCTCACACTCATGGACCCCCACACCAGCGCTGCTTATCAAGCCAGTTGTGATACAGACAGGGACTGGCTCTCTGGTCCCTTCCTCATCCTGTCTTCTTGCTGTGCAGCCTTGGAGAAGTCACTTGGCACCCCAAGATCTCTGTGTCCTCATGAGTATAAATGGTGGGCAAGAAATCCTCCTGCCCACCTCATGGGGTGACGCAGAACTCAGAGGAGATAGTGGTGGGATGGACTTTGTGACCTGTGAGGGCTTGGTGACCCCCATGCAGGGGATGTGTCTGCATCATGGTCACCTAGCAACAACATTGGCAGTACTGTGCTGTGCTGAGTCCCCCATCAATCTGGTTGCTGAAAAGAGAAATGGTTTGGGTGGCCACTGGCTAGCTGGTGGACCGAGGGAGAGCATCAGACCTGGTTCCCACCACCATTTATCACCTCTGCAAGTGAGGGGATCCCCACATCTGGCATTCCCGAAAACCGGATGCCTCCTGCACAAAATAGGGACAGTAATAGGGGTGTCCAATAATCAGGTGACATGAGCATCACATGAGGTGGTCTCAGTGTTAGGATGGTGCCTGGTATGGGGGGCAGCTCTCTGTCATCTCTACCCCAGCTTCCTCGGTCTCCACCATGCCCCAGGTTTGTTCCAACACCAGTGCTTCTCTTCACGGCCATGGCTTCGTGGGGTGCTGACTGCCACCCAGCACTGGGGTCCCTGCCGACCATAGTGCCTTCCTTTCTCCTGGGCCAGGACTCGTCTTCCTGCCCTGTGGGTCAGATGGCATCGTGCACAACCCAGATGCCTGGCCGAGCACCTCAGGGAGGCCCCGGGCTCCTGTGCCCCAGTGCTCCTGAGTCTCTGTGGCTCAGGTCTCAGCTGCCACAGGGGCAGCCTTCTGTCACTTCTGCAAGGTGGCCCCTAAGACTTCCTCAGGAAGGGACCCAGAGCAGGGTTGAGCTCCGGATCAGCTGCGCATTTCTTTAAGAAAAGGAGAAACGGGTGCTGGTGTCCCTTAGTGCCACCTCCCTCTCCCCTGCAGTGTGGCAGCAGCTTACTGTGTGCCTCTCGTTCCAGCGCCTGGGGGCCACCTGGCAGAGGGGGGCGCTCGTTTGTGAAAGAACCAGGCAGAAGTTCTCACATCCCGGCCAATTCACACCTTCCCTGGGCGCCCCGCTAACTGTGTTCTAAGCACTTTGGCTCCTTCTGGGAGCCCTGATGAGGTCACTGCGCTGTGAAGCAATTTACTTGGCATGGAGGGTGGACGTTCCTTCCTCGGCAGAGAAACACCAGCAGGTTCTGCTTTTCTTTCTGGCAGTTAATTTTAGGACACACTCTTGAGTGCAACAAAGGTGCCGGCGGACAAGGTGAGACCTGGGGTCGTCCCAGAAGCGCAGAGCCCAGGAAGGGCCGTAACAAACAAGCCATGGGCTGGGGCTGCAGGCACTCTCCTCACTGACCCTGCCTTCCAGCATGACCCACGACCCCTGCTGGAAGGGCACGGGGACACCCCGGCTTCCTCCCGCCTGGTGGGCCCTGGAGGCTGGGAAACACCTAGCTCCTTCCTGGAGGAACGCCCAGGGAGAGAGCCCTTCACCATGGCCGCCTTTCCTCGGCTGTGTGGGCTCCCCTGGTCACTGAGGGCACGTATGAACCAGGAGTGCAGGAGCGACAGGGGGAGATCGCCAACACGAGCAGGGACGAGGGGGGCACTGCTGCACTCCCACTTTGAGGCTCAGAGAGGTTGGTCACTTGCCCAGGACCACACGTTGAGTAGCAGGTGACCAACTGTCCCAGTTGGCTCTTTTCACACTGAAATGTCCACCTCCCTGGAAACCATTAGTTTTGGACAAACCAGCGGCTGGTCACCCTTGAGGCTTCAGGGCCACGATTACAGCCAGGACCACCGGGTCCCAAAACCTGGTGGTCATTCTTCCCCGCCATGCCAGCCACTGGCCTCCTTCCTGTGACAGCCTCACACTCACAGGACACAAGGCCACCCCAGCGGGAAGTGGGGAGGAAGGACTTGACCCAAGAGGCCCTCCTGCAGTCTGTTTCCTCGTTGTTGACACACAATGGGGGGAGCCTCCAGAACACTGCATCCCTGTGCTGCTGCTGCTGGGAGTGGGAGATAGCGTGGTGGCTACACTTCCCTGAGGAGAGGCCCCCTGCCATGTGCGCGTCCCCTCTTGGCCTGCAGCCGTGGGTGGCAGAGATCAGGCACCCGCTACAGCTCCGAGGAGCCAGCAGGGGAGCTCACACAAGGGCTGCTTTTATTTAAATAGCAGCACAAATGTTCAGCTGCCCCGTAATTGGCAGACATAAACACAGACAGAAAACAAGGACCGATTTTAAAAGAATGACAAACACGTTGTATACAATGTGGTGACTTTTCTCATTAGAATCACTGATGTCTCTGGTTATGTGACATAATCCAACGCTGATGTCCTTCCAGGGTAAGCTGTGGCCTGCCTCCTCTGTCAGTGTCTCTCCACACACCCACACACACATGTGCACACACACACACGCTCACAGAGTGTTTTAAGCCTCTTTCTGCTCCACTGAAGCTGTTTTGAATTTATGAGCCACTGCATGGAAAACTTGCTCCTTCGCTGAGACCGGCAGTCGACGTCACATTTAGCTGCCTGTCCTAATTATCCTGAGATTGTGTCTCTGTCTTGCTATCCGCCAACATCCCCAGCAGCCACCCTGGTCCCAGGGCCCCTGCCTCTCATTCCTTGCAGTTAGCACAGAGCCCAGAGGGAGGGGCGCCAGCTGAGTCTGTTTCCAGTGACTTCTGCGTCTCAGCAGGCTGCTGCGCTCCAACACCGAGCTCCCCGGGCTCCTCTCTGGGTGACAGAAGCCTGACGTTTTGGCTGAGCAAGTGGCCGCCCCCAGGATAGAGATGGCATTTCCCAGCATTCTTTACAGCAAGCTGGGCCTTCCTGGCTAAGCTTTACCCACAGGGTTTGAAGAGAGTGGCACAGCTCTGAGTTGTGCCCCTAGAGGGACAGTCTGCCCTCCTCATCATCCCTTATTCCTTCCCGCTGGCTGGAATGCCAACGCGGTGTCCCTGGACTCTGGAGCATTTGTTCATTCATTAACTACAAAATCAACAAACGAGGAAGCCAGACTCCCCGAGGGATGGCCAGCAGAAGCAGTAGATGATAGCAGTAGCCCCGCAAGGATGTCGGATGTTGGAACGACGGAGGAAGACGGACGACATGGTCATGGAGACGATAGAGCAACCAGCTGGGCGATGCACGGGTCCTGTGCCTGGGGCTGCCTGGCCAGCCTGGATCCTCGAGGGGCAGGACGGGCTACCCTGGCCTCTCTGCAGCAGCTGGCTGGTCTCCGTCTCTCACAGGCCCTCTGTGGCCACTGTTTCCATTCATGAGTTACTGTCTCCCATAGTGTGGGTGCATAATGTACTTACTAGCCCCGACACCCGTTGGCTCTCCATCACTGAGACAAATAACTGAGACAATCCAACTTAGCAAGAGGGAAGGTTTGTTTTGGCTCACAGTGTGGGAGGTTTAATTTATGGTCTGTCAGCTGTTGTTGGGGGCCTGGGGCAAGGCCGTGCCTCCTGATGGGGCATGTGGTGGAGAAGTTGTTCATGGCAGGGAAGTCAGGAAATGGGAGAGAGAGGAGGAGGCCAGTGTCCCCGTCTCCTTCAGGGGCACAGCCCCTGTGACCTAAAGCCTCCCAGCAGCTCCTCCACCTCCCAGCGCGCTGAGCTGGGAACCAAGCCCTTGACTCCTGGCCCTTTGGGGACGCTCCAGATCCCAGATAGAGCCAGTGTTTCCACAGTAGCTTAACCTGAGTCCATCAAAATCCTCAGCTTCTGGGGCTATGGGGTCAGCACTGGACGTTTGTTTCCTAAGTGAAGGCAGCCAGGAGGCGAGGGCCAGGGTACGGACATGCACGTGGCACTGTCGGAGACATGCTGAGGAGGACAAGGCAGGGAGCAGCTGACCTCAGCCAGGTGATGTTACCACTGCTGCAGACAGGCGACCCCGTGGGCTCCAGACGGTGACAACTCCCAGGGCGCACGCCAGGAGACCGGGGCTGTCTGTGCAGTCACCTGGACCTCCTGTAGTTCCTTGCCACCTCCTGTGACCACAGCTTTGCATAAGCTCTTCTTCCTGGCCTGAGTCCCTTTCCTCTTGGATTGCCAGGTACTTACACAAAGCAGAGCAAACAAAACACACACAGGAGGTGCCCTTGAATTACTGCATCAGATAAGCAACGAATCAGTTCTTGGTATAACCGTGCCACACGGCGATGGTGCACTGAGCGTTATTCATCGTTATGGGGAATTCAGACTTACCGGGGTGCCCTGTGTTTTATCTCAGGACCCTATTTCTCTCCCAACCCCCTTAGTTTACCTGAGTATTTCCTACTTATCCTTCCAATCTCAGCTCATGTGCAAATTCCGTGGGGAAGTCTTTCCTTGACTCTGCCCAGATTAGTCCCCTTCACGGTGACTTCTCCCCACCCCTCCTCACCCTTTGTCTTAAATGACTTTACATTACTGTAACAAAATACCTGAGAAAATCAACTTAAAAAGCGGTGGGGATTCTTCTTTTGGCTCAAGTTTCAGGGGTTTCAGTCCCTGACCTGTCAGTCCATTGCTTTTGAGCCTGTGGAGAGAGGGGACATCCTGTGGGGAATGCGTAGCAGGAAGCTGCTCTCCTCAGGGCAGCTAGGAAGCAAAGAAAAGGGAAGTGGGGGCCCAGACCCCAGCAGCCCCTCCAAAGGTATGCTAGCAGCGACCTAACTTCCTCCCACTAGGCCCCACCTCTGGAAGGTTCCGCCTCCTGCATTCGCGCAAGCCCTGGCTGTGACAAAGCCTGGCCTCCAGGGGTTGCTGGAATGCTAGCCGCAGTCACAGATGCCACATGCTTACCCAGCGGCCACTTGAAGTCTGGCGGAACACAGGCTCCTGCACTCCTGGGCTGGTCAGTGCGCCCAGGAGTAGGGTGGCGGGCATCCACTGTGTTCAGCAGCCTTCCTTACAGGTCACATGTTCAAAGACAAAATCATTGACCATTTCAACATCAGGTATGTCAATCATTCAGAATATTGATTTCAGAAAGACGGGCGGGACATGCTTCCTGGGTGATGATATCTGAGGCATAGTATCGTCTTCTCAAGAAAGACTAACCCCTGATTGTGCCTTATATTTTTCTTAGGGTAGGTTGCCACTTTGAACTCAGTGTGTTCGAGCTTCATCTTTGCCAGGAACGTTTCCCGGGAGCTGTGGCGCTCAGGTGTGGCCTACAGACAGCTCCAGGGGTTGGTGGGGAATGGTCCATACTTTGGGTGTCACTCTGCTGTTTGGTTCCAGCCCCTGCTGAGCAGCATTCGAGTTCCCATACAAGGTGGCCTTACGTGGGTGGTGTGGGGTTGGTTCGTATTTTGCAGGGGAGAAATTCCTGCCCTGTTCATATCGACTTACGAGTAAAACCAGAAAAACAGTCAAGACGGGCAACAGAGCGTTGCCGTGCGGAGCCAGGCCTCTGCCAACTTTGGCAGAGGAAGGCAGCCTTTCCCCAGGGGACTGTCTTTGACTCAGGATAGATAGTGGAGAGGAAGTGTCCCAGACAGAGAAGGGGGTTGGGCAGGGGCAGGAGGAGCCAGTGGCACGGGCGAGTGCAGCCACATTGGCCAGATGGTCTTGTGCCAGGTGGGACAGGCTAATGGACCCAAGAGAGACGCTGGAGCCAGCTTGGAAAGGTGTCTCTTCTAGAGGAAGCTGGTGGCCTCTGCCTACGGCAACAGGCAGCCTCTGAAGATGTGGGGGATCTTGGTTCAGAAAGGGGACCGTGCCGCAGGGAGGCTGGGCTGGCCATGCAGCAGTGCAGGTAGTGGAGCGGGGTCTGGACTGGGTGGGCTGCAGGGCTGGCAGGTGGGCTTCGTTGGAGGAGAATTAAGAGGGACCACCAAGAGAGCCTGGCGCCTCTGAGCAGAGGCGGGGGAGACAGTGGAGGCTGGTGCCAGCCCCGGAGTCCCACGGGCAGCCCCGTTCCCTAACCTCTCCCTCTGCAGCGCCCAGAGGGCCCCTGGGGTTGACAGTCTTCTGAAATCCCTTGATCCTGCCCACCGCCAGGCCCCCCACTGCCACCCTCCCCTGCTCAGGGCCGGGCACTTAAGCAAGAAAAGAAAACCCTGCCCAGGGCAAGGTGAATTTTAGAAAACCCAAGGCACACATAAAAAATATAGTATTTCAAGGCTTCGTTTATTTTCGGGGAAGAGACCGTGTCTGCCTGGGGGTTCTGTACAACCCCCAAACCCCACAGCCTCTGTAAACACTGCTGGATGGTAAATAACACTAGGGCCGGTGTCGCTCCCTCGTCAGGGTCTCGGCTCTGCACACCATGACTTCAGGAGCCCCCTTGAGCAGGGGGAGCCCGTGAGTGCCAGCACCCAGCCCACCCCTGTGCCCTGTGCGGCCAAGGCCGTGGCTGCTCTGGGAAGCTGGGAGGGCGTGTCCAGGCCAACAGAAACTTGTCCTTCTGTTACATTTTTTAGGTCACAGGCATTGCCCATACCTGGCACTTGCACTACAGGTGTCCTCGTGTTATGTGATCTTCACACTCCTGGGTGCATGCTGGGCAGCCCAGAGATGAGGAAGCGGAGGCTCCGGAGCCCTAGGGGACTTGGGGCGGCCATACAATCAGAAAGCACCAGAGCTTTCTCCAGTACTTCTTGGGCCACGTTTCCCTTAGACCAAGACCTCCATCTTCCACAGAAGGGCTCCTGCCAAAGAGCAGGCCAGTCTGGGGTTGTGGAGTCCTCCAAGGAGGAAATGTGATCGAAGTTTTGTCTTGATTCGTGTACCTGGCATCTTGCCGTGTATCGTGACCAGGTGTGTGTTTAACACAGAAGGATACTTTGAAAGCCTGCTCCGACAGCATAGATGTTCCAAGAAGACCTACCACCTTTACCCAGGTCCTGGTCACTGGGGGAGGCCCTCGGAGTGCTTAACTTCACGCTGAGGTGGACTGTATCTTGCCATGTCCACCACTGTGGCCTGGAAATGGGATGGGGTGGTGGACATTACCGCCATGATGCTGGGAACCTCAGCAGTACCCAGCTGGAGGCCACTGACCTGTGCTGGACTCGGCCCTGGATCTGCTGGCCTGGCTCACAGGGAAGTGCGGCTCTGCTCCCTGAGTCTCTCATCCCCTCCAGGGACCAGGCCCTCAGCTATGCCTGCTCTCCAAACATAGCCTAGCCACTGGCCATGTCACACCTGCTCACATCCCACTGGCCAGAGCAAGCAACAGCTGAACCCAAAGTCAGAGTAGGGAAAGGGATTGATTGATTGATTGATTGATTCAGTGCAAAGAACTGAAAGATCACCTGGTGGGGAGCAAGTACACTGGGAAGGGAACTGGGGGCCATTAAGAAACCCAGAGCATGAATTAGTCAGCCAGGTTACCTGGGGTCACTCCCAAGACCTGAGCAGGGGATCTGGATTTCTGCAGCAGCTCAGCTACTTCTGAGCCCCGTGACCTCTGACAAAACCCTGCTCTCTCTGAGCCTTGCTTTCCCCATCTGTATGTGGGAGCAATAATTCCTTTCTCATAGTAGTTAGCAGGATAAAGTAAACAGCTGTATGAAGGGGCTCTTCCTTAGAAAGCTTTGTGAAGGTGTTACTATTAATCAGTTTCTTGAGCTGTTTTCCTTAGTTGCAGATCAGTGTGTTGTACCACTGGGCTACATCCCCAGACTTTTTTGCAGAGGCTGGCCTCAAACTTGTGATCCTCCTGCCTCAGCCTTCTGAGTCTCTGGGATTACAGATGTGCACCACTATGTCCAGTGCAAATAACATTTGACTTTAAGAAATCACAAAACCTAGGCTATTGAAAGCGTTAGAACAGGAAGGAAACAACCACAGCATCAATGATTAAGTAACAAGACAGGAACAGTTTTATTTCAAATGCTAAGGCATAGTACTTACTCGAATGGATGTTTGATGAGTGAATGAATGACCCTCACAGTGATTGTTTTAAAAACATTTCTCTAGCTTTAAAATTAGTTCCAAATGGGAACTTCAGAAAAACCCTTCAATGAGGAGGCACTCAAGGAAGCCAGACTTTCACCTGCTTTGAGAAGTGACTCTCATTTCTGCAGATGCATTGTAAATGTGTGTGCCTGTTTCCTCAACATTTCTTAGCATGCTTGCTTTTTCACTTTGGCCTAATCAAACAGTTCTTCTGCCCAGAGCTCTTCTCTCCATTCTCCATCCCAATCAAATCCCCAAACTTGGTAATCTTAGAAAAGAAGATTTACATGTTGTTGGTGACCACCACGGCGTGCTGGGCATTTCCAGATGCCAGCTGCTCAGATCTCACGGCTCTGAGTGTCCATGGCCAACAGATGGGCTCTGGGCTCAGAGCGCGTGTGGGACTTGAATTCAGGGACCAGCTCAGCAGGCTGGCTGAGTGTGCACCGGGAGCCAGCCGTGGCGTGGCAGGAGTCTGCTCCGGCAGGCTGCGGGGGCTGGGCCAGGCCGGCTACTCTCATGTGCCACTGGGGGCGGGGGGGGGGGGCTTCGGAATGGTCCAGACAGTGGCTGCTTTTCTCCAGCACTGGCATTAGACACTTGCTATTTGATTGCTTTGGGAGTGAGCACACTACTGTTAAGACGTTAGCAATGTGCCATGAGGCACGATGGGGAACAGAGGGGTGGCTCTTGGCACCCCAGCTCTCAGGGCACCGCCTGACTCACAGCGGCACTCCATGAAGCTCTTTCTCAGCAGACGATGGTCTTTAGAATAGGATTCTCTTTCCATCCAGCTCAGGAATTTAAATTAGGCAAACACATCCAGAAATTTCTAGAATTCTTCTGAGTTTGAAAACACTGACGTAACCCAACCCACCGATTTTCTGTGAGAAAACCAAGATCCAAACGTGAGTTTTGAGAGTCACCAGGCTAGTTAGTGACAGTTTGTCAGGAAGCTCTCAGTCCCTGTCCCTTTCACACGGATAGGCACACACCCACTCCACCAAGAGAAAGGGGCTGCAGGGTCAGGGGGCTACCGACAGCTTCTTGCAGTGAGTGACCAGACCCCAGCCATCACCCCCTCTGCTGGAGGGTGCAGAAGCCCAGGCAGAGGGGGTCCAGGAACACTTAACACATTGAGACAGCAGCTGCCACTTGTGCAGCCTTCCGTGGGACCCACTGGCTCCCAGAGGAACCTTGTGAAGGGCACCGGGGCTGGCAGAGGAGCAGGGGCTGGGGAGCAGGGACAAGCTGGGCTTGGAGCTGTCAGAGGAAATGGATTTGCCATGGTTATTTGAGGCTGGCTGAGTGTGCACCGGGAGCCAGCCGTGGCGTGGCAGGAGTCTGCTCCGGCAGGCTGCAGGGGCTGGGCCAGGCCGGCTACTCTCATGTGCCACTGGGGGCCGGGGTGGGGGGGGCTTCGGAATGGTCCAGACAGTGGCTGCTTTTCTCCCCGGACTGGGATCTTGATGCCAACCACGGGGAGCTTGGGCTAATTCAGCTCTGTGCAGGCACCTGAACAGAGGCATTTTTGAATGTGAACATTTCTACTTTTTTCCTAAAACTGACTTCATCTCCTCGTGGAGCACCCAGGTATTCAGTGGCCTTGCTCTGAGGGCTGGCCCATGGGCCTCACTGCATTGCACCTGGTCTATGAAGTAACAGCTCTAAAAATAAAAATAGCAGATGGATGTGCACATTCGTGGAGCACATTTAAGCACTTTGCATAAACAAACCCGTTAGATTTTACATCTTATGTTTTCCCATTTTGCAGATGAGGAAATCTGAGGTTTGGAGAAGTGAACTCAACAGACCAGGCTGCTGGTCCCGAGACACTGAAGCCCCTTCCTGTTGCTGTAACAGAGTACTCGAGACCAGGTGATTTACAAAGAATAGGGGTTGGTTTTGGCTCGTGGTTCTGGAAACCAGGAAGTCTACAAGTGCCTCGTGCCCCTCGTTCCTGGTGAGGGCCATGCGGCTCCAGCTCCTGATGGAAAACGGAATGGGTACTTGAAGAGCCAAGCAAGAGGGGCTGGTCTCCCTGTGACTA